GGAGTAGGAGGATGCACTCTGAGGAGAGCACAGAGGATATCATGGTCTTGGTAGAACTGTGATGGTGTGTGTCATCTAGTACTGAGCTGAATGGATGATATTAAGCCAGCATGTAGTGTTTCTGGATGAAAATTTTCTTCTTTTGCAATAATAGAGAAACTCCTGCTGGTTCCAAGAACAAGATCCCTGACCAAGCTATAGCTTGCAGTTAGGACCCAGCAGCTGAACATCTCCTCAGTATCCCGTGGGTCTGAGTGAGTTGCTTTGTGGCTGAGCTGCCACCCAGTCAGGGCCACGATAGCTGACAAGAACATTAACAGTTGTTTGGTTTTGGTTTTTTTTATTCCTTTCCTTTCACAGTGAACTCCTATGGTCAGCCCCAGCCTCCCCATCTCTTTTCCGGGCCATCTCCTATGTACCAGATTTCCACCCAGGACTCTCCAGGATATAATCGCCCAGGTAAGTGGTGATGTTAAGGCATATTATACCAATGAACATCAAAGAATTGGTTCCCAAGCACTTTATGCATTTCTCCCAAAGCACTTACTAACCAAACGGAGCACTGAGGGTAGAGAGGGAGCCTGGACTGCAAGGGGCCCTCCATTTAGGGCTCTGCCGTAGCTCTGGCAAGGTTTAGGATTTCAGTGGCCTGATTTCTTTCACTTCACATAAACAGTGTTCTAGCTCAGCCTCACCCTCAGTTGGTTGCTCAAAGGCAACTTTACATGAGAAGCTTCTGTTGATGAAGTCCTTTGTGCTCTACAGTCTCTTTGTGCAGTCAGTTGGAAGGAAAGTTAAGGAGGCTGAAACTTAACCTCGGTAGAAGCTGCTGTGGAGAATTTCACAGCAGACCACCTACAAGCCGTGGTAGGTGCTGTCTGACGGGGAAATTCATGCCAGTAGTGTTCTTGCTTGTTAAACTGTTGGAAGGGAGAAGACCCGAATCCCTTATGCTTTCTTTTGCCCAAGGGCCCGCTGTGAAAAAGCGTGACATTTTGTATTCTAACTGTTCTCTTTCCTTTCTCTTCTTTTTTTCTTGTTTTTGGCTCAGCTCACCATCTGGTCCCTCGGCCTCCAGGGCCTCCTCCAGGTGCCAATGAGGAAATCCCCGATGATTTCGACTGGGACTTGATCACCTAGCGAGTTACAGACTTGATAGCCCGTCCTTTGTGAAGGACGCGGGACGGGAGGGGGACATGGGGTGAATGGTGCCAGCACCACCCTCCCCAGTCTCCCTGCCTTGCCTGTATATAGATATATATTCTCTATCTCCGCCAGAGAAGCCACCGCAAGATGCTGCCGAAGATAATCCTTCCTTGCGTCCTGTTTTATCTTCTTTTTCTTCTTTTGTTTATTATTATTATTGTTATTATTATTATTATTACCAATAATTGAGCACAGCCCTCCCCCTCCTCTGGTGGCCTCGGACGCATCAGATCGGCTCTTTCGTGTTGCGTGGTGCCCTGTGGAGGGCGGAAAGATGGGTCCTTGTTGCCATGAAAAGACCTCGGAAGGCTGAATCCTCGAGTGCATCTTTCTCTGCCTCCATCATTTTGCGTTTAACAATCCCTCTTTCCCTTCATTGGGGCCGGTGAATCTGTCGTATTGGCTACTGGAGTGAGAGAGCCTAGTGGACCCTGGAAGCCTATAGTTATGTTGTTTCGTAAATGTTGTAAAGGTCAGGGGGCTAAAGGGACACTGGAGGGGTGATCTTAGCTCTGTGAACTTTCTCGCACCAGCAGGAAAAGCAAGAAAAGAAATAGAGTTCCCAAGTACAAAGAGAGGGTGATCCCTGAGGTAGGGAGAGCTGAGCTGAGCTGGGAGGGTAGAACTGAGTTTGGAGAAAGTGGAATGTAGCGGAGATGGTATTTCAGCAGAGAAGTTGGTTTTCAGAATGCAGTGCCATCTGTGAGGACTGAGAGATTTTGAGGGAATCCTGACCTATTTTCTACACTGCCTTTTGCAGTCTGCAGGTGAAGACTACGTAGCCATCAGGTAAAAGAAGCAGTCAGGGGTGTCACATGTGATTCAGCAAATTCTGTTCCCCAGAGCTTTTGATTTCACCCCTCACCCCTTCAATCCCTCCTTCGAAATATGTAGTGAGGCTCTTACTTGCATATGCAAATTTGGAAGTTTTCTCCCATCAGTATTTGTGCAGTTATTATTTGGCCCTCTGCCCCTGGTATTTCTTTGGAGACTGTCCTTGCCTGTGGTTGGAGAGTGCCAGCAACAGGAGTCTTGTGTAGGTGCAAAGTCTCAGTCAGTGGTTCCCACTTTGTGAATGGGCTGACGGTGGGAAGAGGAAGCTGCTGCTCAGAGTGGAGGTGAATTAGAGGACTTCTGGTCAAGGGGCTGGACCTCTGGTCAAGTAACTGCGAGGCCCTCACAAGTGTTTTTTGTAAGAGGTGCATTAGAAGAGAGAGGACAAAGCGGGGCAGAGTTTTAAACCAAACAGCCAAAGAGTATAGTATAAAAGGGAGGAGCGTGGGTCAGACCCCTCACGGTTCAGCTGGGGAGATGATGGAATCTAGTGTAAATCCCGAAGGATGAGTTTTGTCAGCACTTGCAAATCAGGAAGGTGGAAAAGGTGCAGAAGCAGGAGTGAGTGTTGAGATGCCTCCTCCCCAAAGCTGTGTCCTGTGTTCCCCTTTTTTCTGGTATGGCTCTGTTCTGTCAAACATCTTAATATTTTGTAAAGCCTCCCCCCAACCCTTATTCCCCGTTTACCAGTGAAGGGAACCAAGATGGAAACAAAATGTCATCGCCGCTTGACAGACCTGGAGCAGGGGAGTAGTAACCTCTGCTCTGACTGGGGAAGGTGGGGAACTGGCATTGCTTTTTAAATTTGCTGTATGGATAAACTAATTGGATCTTTGTCAGGGAAGTGGACAGAGTCTCATTGTAAGGGGGGGGAGGGGGGGAGGGACACTTTTGTTTCTTTTTTTTTTTTTTTCTTTTTTTAAGTGTGTGTTTGGGGGGGAGTTCGTCCTTGAGTGTTTCCAAGAGAAATGAGGAATCCCAGAGCCAACTTCAACATGGAGTCAGCTGTTATCTCTGCTGCCTCAGGATGGGAATAATACAGCTTGGAAGCACGTGTGATGGGTTTCTGTGGAAAGTGGCACCAGAGACAACCTCGGGTAGGTGCCAGTTAGTGCTTTCCAGAGGGTGTTACTGAGAGCCGGCCCTGTGGAAGTCTGAAAACACCACCGGAAGAAAAACAAACCGAGATGGCTCCTTCTGCGTATCCAAGTGCTCCTCATTTGCATATTTGCCTCATTTGCGTATTAAGTTGCGCCTCATTTGCATATGTAAATACATGCCGGTCAGTGTGCAAATTAGCCTCGTTCCTCTGCCCCTGAAATAAATGTGCGTTGTTAGTGCGTGGGAAGGCATCGGGTGGGCGGCGCGGAGCTCTGCAGGGTGCGCGGGTACCGGCCTGCAGGGAGAGGCGAAACGCCAGCCTGTCACCCCTGGAGAGGGGCTCTCGCAGGACCCCCCCAGTGCGGGGTGGCCCCCCCCGGTGCTTTGTGTCAGTGGTCAGGGAGAGAGGGGCGTGGTCTCACGAGTTTATTTTTGTGCATGCTTTCTTAATAAAAAGAAAAAGTGAATGTTTATGGTTTAACTCTTTTGGTACCGGTATTGAATTTTTTTTCTCAGCGGCGCCTGTCAGGTGGGCTGGGTTCCCACCTGCTTACTTTAGAACTGGAATTTGGGTGTGGACATCGCTAAATTAACAGTCTGCACCCATATTATACTTTACGACTGAGACTTTTTAGGATGTCAAGAGAAAGAGTGGAAAGTTGTCGCAGCTGGCCGTTCGCAGGGCACTGAGGTCAGTGAGTCTTTCAACTCACGCTCGCCAGAAAGGCAAAGTGAAAGCCATACCAACGCTTAGTGGCTTTTTTCATACCATTTGTTGACCTTACTTCCTTGAAGGAAGGACTAACGCAAAAAGCAGATATTATACCACTCCCTTAGAATAGGTAGACATCTGCTTTTCAGGAGCAGGGAACATTCAAGCTTGGGGAAACATCTCCAAATAGCTTGACTGGACAAAATTTTTATCTTTCTCCACCAGAAAGACATGAGAAGCACATCTCTTGTAAAGAGCAGAACATAACTGTTGCAACAGGCTCCTTCCCCACCTTCTTGGGGTAAGACGAGGTCATCGCTTCTCAATTCCAGGGTTTTACCAAATGGCTCATAGTCCAGCAGCCACCTATTCCGGTTCATCAATGACTGCAGTTGCTCAAATTATGCTTGTGTGCCATCTTAAAATGCACTAGGTACATTTGGATAATCTTGGGCTTCTTCCTAAAAGGAAGATTTGGGACTCTGATGGTGGAGGCAGTGTTGGGGAGACAGTGAGTGAGTGAATGCTAACAAGCACAGCTACAGCATGTGCATTGGACCAGTTACTACTGTACTGTGTGTGATGTATTTTCTGGGACAAATAAATATCTTGGGCATCTACCAGGGCATGAAGTTTAGTTCAATGCTGCTGACAGGGGCAAGTGCTGTTCTAACGGACTGCTGTAAGAAAATGTAGCACTACCCTTTTTTTAAGGAAAAAAACCCTCAGGCCCCAAGTATAGTCAAAGGAGAGGCAAAAACAGGTGACAGGTTCCAAGGAGAAACATCAAAGTTAGTTTCATCTGCAGTTTATTAGAGACAGGAGATATAGAACATAGACATACACAAATGAATGACATTCATCTAGCAATTCAGAGGTTAAACTACATGACCCACCACAAATCATTCTGCAAGCCTGCTTTCTTCTTTAAAGGTTGAAGTACTCTGTGTCTCCTGCTTCACCAGAGTCTTCCCTCAGATTATTATTCGGGTACTTCCAACTTCCGATCTCTCCAGAGCAGGATATAAAGGGGCTTAGCTGTTCTGATCTGAACTGTCTCAGTGCCCTGTATGTGGATCTACCGATTAATCAAATGTGTTGGAGAAAAAAAAGCTGTTAAGTAGAGAGTGGTGATCAAAGTCCTGCATTACACCGTGCTGCTAATGTCCTTCTCTGTTGAAGTCTTGCTTCTGTCAAGGGAGTAAGGGATCGAACGTGTTGGTTCCTCAGTGAAGGCACCCTCCAAGATTCCTTGCACTGATTGCCGTGCCTTTGCCCTGAAGTCCCGTCCCACAAAAACATAGAGCAGGGGGTTGATGCAGCTGTTGGCATATGCAAGTGCTATAGTGAGATGATCCCAAAGGATCAATGACTCCCTCAGTCCTGTTCCAAGAGTAGGTACAAGGGACAGAATCCCAACCACATGGTATGGAGCCCAGCAGATGAAGAATGCAGCTACCACGAGTACAATTGTTCTCAGCATCCTGTTGCGTGGCTTGTGAAACCGATTCGCACGTGTTCTGAAAGCAATAAGGGCATAGCAAAATGCCATTATGCTAAAGGGGAGTACAAAGCCAAAGACAGCCCTAGTGATGTTTATTACCACTAAGGGAAGGGGTACAGAATAATCACTTTCATAGAAAATTTCCCATGAGTCATTACCATTGTAGGCTAAAGGTGAGTATTTTTCCAATAACTCAAATACAGAATCATCCATGTAATCTAGCACTTCGTCATCTCCAAAATTGTACCCACACTCAGTTTTGCCGTCATGAGTGCTAATCTCACGGTAGTAAAGGACAGGACAGCAGAAAATCAAGGCCAGGATCCAAATGCCGCCGCATATTAGTGCTACAAACTTCACTGTTCGGTGATTTTGACACCAGACAGGTTTCATCACAAGGAGGCACCGGTCAATGCTGATGGCCACGAGTAGGAAGATGCTAGCAAACATGGTGAAGATTATGACTGATGGAATGACTTTGCAGAGGAACCAACCATATGGCCAGTGTTCATGGAGGGCCAGGTGAACAATGGAGAACGGCAAGGACAAGCAGCACGTGAAGTCAGCCACAGCAAGGTTTAGGAACCAGACAATGTTCACAGACCTTTTCATTTTCAGACCAGCTACCCAGATCACCAACCCATTGCCTGGGATACCTATGATGAAAGCTATGATGAAGATAGCAATGGAGACAATGGATCCTGATGTGTAATATAAAGCAGCCTCTTCATATGAACTGCTATTACCCAGGAGTTGAGGCATTCTGTAGCTATAAAACAGAAAGCAAATTAGTAGGCAATTCACACCCTCCTCCCCAAATTCTTCTCTGTCTGTACTGAAGCATGTCTGAGTCAGGTGACAGTGCAGAGCTGTCAGGGTACAAAGGCACGGGTCTATACAAGTTTGCGCTAAAGGCGTACGAATATGATCATTATACACCTTCATCATTCTCATGGTGGCTAAGCTACATAAGCCCCAGTATTCAAACAGGGGGTTGGTCTACACTTAAGTTCTCCCACCCCTGTCATCTCCTTTGATTTCAGTCTGGGTCTCTTTAGGCTCCGCTCTAAAGTGAAGCTCTCTGTTTACATGCCCGCACTATCACCAGGTGTCTTTCCTGACCAACTTCCAGCTTTGTATACACTTCTTCAGAAAGGTAAGTCAACGTTTTAGTTCCTTTTTCCTTTAAAATGAGTGATTTCTTCTGGTATAACCAGTGAAATAGGTTTAGGTTGAGAAAGAATGCTTCTCTTGATGAAATAACCCTGCTCCACTTTCTGGACATTATAAATAGAACAGACAGGACAGCAACTCTGTTTGCTACGGGGTATTTTTAGGGAAGTCTCAGTAAGCACTTCCTTCTCCCTGTTTTTGTTCTGAGCTCTCTGCTGGTTCCTTAGAAAGTCAGTCTTGATGAAAAGAAAGGCAAGAAACGAAAGGTTTAAGAACAGAAAGATTTAGTTGCAGAAAGAAAAATTAAAATACAGGAATAGCAGTAATGTTCTCGAGCCATTTTAGATCCAAGAAAAGGAGTCTTATTGCAAGACAATGAATCCGAGCCACAGAATACATAAGTGACGTTTTAAAACTGTGAGAATAGCAGTGGAAAAACTTTAATTATTATCTTTAATTATTCTTGGACTTAGGTATTACTAAATTTAGAAAGGAAAGTAAAGGAAATCTAGCAAAGTCAAGATAGAACTGAGAAAAAAGTCTGATCTTAATTCTTTAGTCATTAATACAATTGTTTACAACATCCCTGTTAACTAAACCCTTGCCGCATCAAGGAAGACAGTTGTGTTGCTGAAAGGTCCCTAAAAGCGTTAACAGAACGCAAGGAAAATGCATAGGTAAGAGCTGAATACAGCCGGCAGAAGCAACTGAGAAGACATGAATAAGACAACCCAGACTGATTTTATTTTAACCTCTATTTTGCCAATACTTAAATGCCAGTCAGGGACTGCTGTGTGCAGGAATAAATATCAATATTATTTAAAAAAAAAATAATTCCAAATCATCAATCTCTTTCTTGCATAACATACAGTCTAAACGTGGAGCGATGCATAAGCATTAGAACCACTTCAGCAGGCGGAAACTGAGAAATTTACCACTTTTTAGTAACAATTGCTAAAAGGCTTTTAGCTGAAGGTGACCTGAAAGGAAAGCTAGGAAAGAAGTCACTGGAAGGCAACTGGAGACAACTTAAATTTTAACAAGTTTGTTCCATTTCCTGTGGTCCTGCTGAAATACACAGAATCAACTTTTACAGGGACGACTGGAGAACAGTGCTGCAAGAGCTGAATCTTGCTGCCTTCCCATATAGCTACAGAAGATGGTATGAAGAGGATAGGGAATCGAGGAATGTGGTAAAGACAGTAATACAAATCCTACTCCAAAGCAAACAGGGATGAATCAGTAAGAAGATACTGCCCACGCTATGTTTTCAAGAGTGCTCAAAGGGCTGCTCTGTGGTTATGAAGATGGAAGGGGGAACTGGAGGGGAGAGAGAGGTTTTCAGGAATGAAAAAAAGAAATTGCAAGTTGAAGAGGAAACCAGAATTCTGCAGCTTATGACACCTACCTGAGTGAAGCAGATATTTCGGTGTGTCAGGCAGCAAGCTCCACCAGTCCTGTCTCTGGAGCGACTGAAAAAAGAAACTCTCATGAAATTTTAGGAACTGCTTTTTTCCTGTGTGTGCTAAGTATGTTTTTAACCCTGACAGAAAGACTTAGAATGACTCATATTTGAAGTTTTACATATGATCTGCTGATAAAAAAAACTAACAGTCAAACCAAAAGAAGTTGTCCCAACACCATCAAAATAAAATAATGCCCTGAGTCAAAGAATAATAGAATACAAGAGAATGATAGGCACAGACCTATTTTACTATAGTTTCCATAAGACAACTGAATCAGATGTCTTTCCTGTTGGCATAACACTGACCTTTGATCGAAGTAATTCATAATTCCAAACTCTGCCATGCCACCATCAGGTGTCTGATCTGTTGTCTGGTAGCCACTTCCATGTTTTATCAGATCAGCACATTCACCTAGCTAATCCCACTTCTGGGATTCTTATCAATCCAGATCAGCTTCTGTCCCAGCTTGAGACAGCTTAGTTCACCAAATACAGAACACTGTACTCAGCAAACCATAATTGGTCATGTCAAAGGGATTTTAATCTGATTTTTGACCTTTCAGGGTATTTAAAGTCTTGTTTCATTTTGGTTTTAAAAAAAGAAGGAACTTGACTGATGAAAAGTTAGAAGTGGTGAACTGAAATGCTGATAGCAAAAAATGTGGCAAGACTATAAAAAGAAAAGACATTTAGGGCGAGGCATTTCAAATTAACAATAGGGTTCCCCCTCACCCCTCCCAGTTTGGGAAATCAAGACTGCTAGCAGAAATGACAAAACCCAGACACCCAAGAATCAGCCTCAGTATTTTGGTTTTGGTTTGGAAAACGAACCAGGACAGAGCAGAATTCTGCTCCTGAGCATATCTCTGTGAAACACACAAATGCTGCCACCAACACAAAACCCATGAAACCAGAAACAGCAAGGCAGGCTAAGGCTGGGCTCTACCCCCAAAGATGGACTTGCTGTCAGCAGCCTGCCAGAAAAATTCCTGTAGCTGCATCTTATTCTCAGCTGCCATCTTTCCTGGGTCCTCAGACCCAGACAGAAAGTGCCTCATGTTGGCCAAGGGACGCACAGCCTTTTCACCTATGACTCACTAGCTCTAGTCAAACTTTCCTTTGCAAGAAAGTCTTTCTCCCCCAGTTGGCCAGCTCTGATCCCTCTAGTTAAAACCTCTGCCCTGCACCAACCTTGACACAGTAAGCACTTTATCTTTAGTCCAGCCAGCTCATGCTGGACAGCGATGAGATGATGTGGTACCTCTCCATATAGGTTTCCAGATCAAGGAACCTTTTAAGTAGCCTGACTAGTGAAGCGTTTTGCACCTCAGCATAAAGGGCCTAATGATGTAGGTACTCAAAGGAGAGGGTGCAAGGAGGGAAAAAAAAAAAAAGTCAGTTTGTTACTTTCATAAAATTGTTACTTAGATGAGACCAGACCTTTGTCTTGCAGCTCTGATGGTAATCCCAAATCACCACACTGCATTCTTTTCTTCTCTTTTGGATTTCTCCCTTTCCCTCATGATAAACAGACTGAGTTGGCTTAGAAAGGCTCTAATTCACAGAATTACCGAGTAGCTGAAGCTGGAAGACTGAAGACTGAGTAGCCCAACCCCACTGTTCAAAGCAGTGTCAACTACGTAAGATTGTCCAGGACTGCGTCTGCCCTTTTTCAGTTTAAAATCGTTACCCCTCATCCTGTCACTACACTCCCTGATAAAGAGTCCCTCCCCAGCTCTCCTGTAGGCCCCCTTTAGGTACCGCAAGGCCGCTATAAGGTCTCCCCAGAGCCTTCTCTTCTCCAGGCTGAACAACCCCAACCCTCTCAGCCTGTCCTCATAGGAGAGGTGCTCCAGCCCTCTGATCATCTTTGTGGCCCTCCTCTGGACTCACTCCAACAGGTCCATGCCTTTCTTATGTTGGGGGCCCAGAGCTGGGTGCAGTACTCCAGGTGGGGTCTCAAGAGAGTGAAATAGAGGGGCAGAAGCACCTCCCTCGACCTGCTGACTGTGTTTCTTTTGATGCAGCCCAGGATGTGGTTGGCTTTCTGGGCTGTGAGTGCACATTGCTGCCTGATGTTGAGCTTCTCATCCACCAACACCCCCAAGTCCTTCTCCTCAGGGCTGTTCTCAATCCAGTTTCCACCCAGCCTGTATTTGTGCATGGGATTGCCCCGACCCACATACAGGACCTTGCACTTGGCCTGGTTGAATTTAATGAGGTTCACACAGGCCCACTTCTCAAGCCTGTCCAGGTCCCTCTGGATGGCACCCCTTCCCTCCAGTGTGTCGACTGCACCGTACAGCTTGGTGTCATCATCAAACTTGCTGAGGGTGCACTCAATCCCACTGTCCATGTTGCCAATAAAGACGTTAAACAACATTGGTCCCAGTACTGACCCCTAAGGAATCACTGGTCGCTACTTGGACATCGAGCCGTTGACTGCAACTCTTTGAGTGTGGTCATCCAGTCAATTCCTTATCCACTGAGTGGGCCATCCGTCAAATCCACGTCTCTCCAATTTAGAGACAAGGATGTCATGTGGGACAGTGCCAAATGCTTTGCACAAGTCCAGGTAAACTTCATATTGAAGTTTATCTTGATATAGAGACTCAACTGGCCAACAAAACGAGTTGGCTAAAACCTTAATGCAAGTTACCATTTATGTTACTCTTCCAGGTTTGTTATTACAAAACTGCACCAGTCTCAGCTACTAAATAGTTACACCCATATACAATTCTAAAAATGTGATCAGTATATTTACAGATGCCTCCCTCCTGCAAGAATATGCAGGTTGCATCCAAAACACTTCGGCAAGAACTGAGAACTCCACTTGTATTTCATATTTCTACTACATCTGCAGTTCTACAAGGCTTTGCAGCCCCTCTCAGATCTCCCATTCGTTTTTCTGCAGGTGGAGTGACTAGACAGCTAGGATCTTTCACAGACCCTAAATGTTCCTTGTGTATATGGCAAACCTGTTTTCTTAAAAAAAAAAAACTGTCCAAAACTCTCCCTATACAGCTTAGCCATAACTAGCACAACTGTTTCTCCAGAAAGCATGCTGCAGTGGTCTGGTGGCCAGTCTTTGCTATGTGCTTGTTTCCATTGTCACAAACATGCACTTAGTTTCATAGGGACTCTCCAGTAACATCAATGATATGCAGGGTTGCCCTGTACTGGTCTTCCCCAGACTCCCCTCTTTAGAAAATCCACTGAATGACCCCAAGGCATTTTTGTACATTGCTGAGTAAGCTCAGGTAAGCACAAGCTTTGGACAACAAGCAGGGAATAAAGCTTGGCAAAACCAGCACATGCATAGATCATACATAATTAAAAAGTAGCTCTTCACAATAACAGGTTCTCAGTACTGGGTGAGTATTTGGGTCATATGTTTTGCCAGGGCATTTTCCATTAAGAAAGCACCATTTGAAGCAGTATTTGGGCTGTTTGGTAAAAATACTCATCTTGGGATTAACCTTTAAGTTATCTAATGGTCGTTTTGTGGGACTGGTTTCCCCTGTACCTTCTATGCAGAGAAGGAAAATTCCAAATGTTGGGTCCATCCATTAAGTACATTCCTGAACAATGCCCTATTTTTTTTTTCTTAAATAAGCAAAGGAAAAAGCAAAGCAAAAACCCAAATGACTCTTCTGCATGGTTTATTATCAGACTACCTATTGATTGGCATGAACTGTGCATTTTACACTATTTGTATAGGCCTTTTTATTTGCACACCTTATATGATTGAACATTGTGGAGTTCCATCCAAGATTTCTGCCATTCCTCGTTTTTCATTCATTGAAGATTTCTGTGTAGGAAGAACACGGATCCTCCATTGCTTTCACAGTCTAATTTTAAACATGTTCTCTCTCAATATTTCAACCTCAACGCTTAATGCTTTTTAAAAAAACGATTTAAAAGCGTTATCTATTATTGGCAGTGCTTTGTATTTTTTTTGGTCAAAAGATGCTTGTTTGAAAAAGATAGAAGAATGTTATGTTCTCTGCTGGTTAAGTCTCAATGGAATTGAATGGCAGATGTATTCCTGGTGCTGCTTGTGCATCTTTCCTCATATGCCTTATAAAATTGGCCCTTTGCCACTCTCCCGTCTGAGATGCTGTCCTTCTAGAGGAACTGTAGGAGGATTGTGGCACACTGAATGACAGCACAGTAAAGAGGCAGGTAAAATTTAATATTGCTAATTGGGAATTATTGAATTTGGAAAAGCAAACATACCTATACACACAGAGTGATGTACTCTAGGTAAGTTATTACCATTCAAACAAAAAACCTAGCAGTCACTGCAGAAAGTTCTATGAAAAATGTCAACATGCAATGCTATTCTAAAGGTAAATATAATGAGAAGTATTCAGTTGCTTCTTGAATACTGAATGCTGTGGTGGTCCTTGATCTTAAAAACAATTATAGAATCAGAAATGATACAGAAAGTGATGACTAGACAGCCTGGTGTCCTGGTTTGAGGTAAAACAGAACCAGTTTTCTGTTCAGTAACTTTACTTCTTAGCTGGGCCTCTTCTAACTACTGAAATTAACAGCATATTGTGCAGAAACTATGCCCTCTCAGAGCGATAAGACCTATGTTTACAGCTGATGCCAAGGAATGGTATGCAGAGAGGCTTTTGCTTATACTTATTGCTATAAGACCCAAAGGCAGCTCACTTTGTTATTTGCCCCGTTGGAGGGTCAGAAGCAGAAAAGCGCAGCAGGATTCCGCCTGCGGGGAGGAGTGGACAGGACAGGTGACCCAAAACTGACCAAGAGGGTATTCCATCCCATCTGCCTCATGCTCAGTATACAAGTTGAGGGATCAAAGGGTCAGTTCTCTTTCTTCAATGGCCAATGTCTGAGGAGGACTCTGTTTGTCTACCTTTGGTCCTGATCTGTACATTCCTGAATCCAGATCTGGAAATCCAGTTCTCGTCCATCACTGAGTCCAGTCTGGGACTTCCCCAATGCCAGCCAGTGACGTGACTGCCATTCTGGGAGCTTGATATGTTTTTGTATATATTTCATTATTTCCTTTTTATTTGATTATTGATATTTCATTAAAGTAGTTTAGTTCCTTCTAAATTCATAAGTCTCTTTCTCTCTCTCCTGCCTCTCTTTGAAGAGTAGGTAGGGGAGAGCATCTGTTGTTCTGCCTGAGTGGCCAATCTGGCCCAAACCATGACAGAGGGACACTTGGAGAAGGTAATACATGAATTCTTATAGCACAAGAACTAGGAGCTATCAAATGAAATGATCAGGTAGAAGTTTGTAAACAAAAAATTACCATTTTTCATATCACACAATTAGTTGGATGGCTTCATGGATGATGTAAATAACAAACACATACCAAACCCCCAGCCCACAAACCCCTTACCCTACAGATTGCCAGGCTAGTATACTAGGAAAGTGTAGTTCTGTACTGTCTTTAAGCTGCTCTGTTCTTCTCTAAAATTTGCCTCTCATTAACCTCTTTGCCTTAATGCCAGCAGTCTGGGAAGCAATGTAACACTGGCATATCACGAGCAGGGAGGCAGAGCACTGTGTCATGTATCTGCATTAAGGATCTGCGCTGTGTATTCCTACTAGCTCTTGCACAGGCTGCATGAAAGGGTTCAAAGCTCTCTTCCCGGGCAGATATCTGTCTTCTCCAGCGTGTAGCCTGGCAGGGCACCCACACAGTATGGTGTGGGCTGCAGCTCCCTGGGGCATCCATATCTGCCAAAAAGCAGATCATGTCAGCCCCTCCCTCCTGCTGTAGAAAGGAAGAACAAGCTGGCAGATGGGAAGGGGAAAAGGAAGATGTGCATTTGTGTCATTCTGTATCTGTTCAGGTACTTAGCTCACACCAGTCACGTGCCTTTCCTGTGTATCTACACATACAGCTGACATCATCATTTCTGGGGAAAACCAGGCCAGTTACATTTAGACATGCTAGTTAAATTACAAGTATCCTCCTCAGTTAGTCTTAATGACCCAAGACTATTCCTGTCCTTGCCCTCAAAACAGCTTCACTTACCACATCTATGGAATCAGCAGCACAGACTCCCTTTCTTTGTTTCAAAGTTTTTCTGCACTGGGCGCTGTCAGAGATACAATGCTGGGCTAGTTGGACGGTTGACCTGACAGAAGGGCAGCTTGTTTGACTGCTATGATTGAGGTTCATTACCATCCTGTTCCACTTATCTCTGGAAACAGCAAGAAACAAACCTCTAGATACTGTTTCAGCTCTCACTACATTAACTAACACTATTCCATCCTGGAAAAAAATAATTCCTCAAACTTAGTGCTGTTTCATTCACTTTTTGCTTTACCTTCCCCAGTAAACTGTGCTCACTCAGTCTTCCATGGATAGCTTAAATTAAACACATTCAAAACCCGCCTGGACACCATACTGTGCAACCTGCTGTAGGTGACCCTGCTCGGGCAGGGGGGTTGGACTAGATGATCTCCAGAGGTCCCTTCCAACCCTGACCATTCTGTGATTCTGTGAATGTTACTAGTCTTTATCTTATCATATTTGATATATAAACTACTATCTATACACTTACTTTGGCCACATTTCTGGGAAGTGACACTCCTGAAATTAACCTTTACGCGGCAAGCATTTTCACCATTTCTAGCTGCAAAGCTTGTAATGGTTTGTGCTGCTGTCTCTTTGGTTTGCTGTTTTTACCAAAGGTCTCCTGATCCCAGCACCACAGGCCACACGAAAACCCATTTGCATTTAAGACCCAAGCTTTGACCCGAGGCTGCAGGAAAGAAAAACAGACAGGGAAGCCGAGAAGC